GAGTGAAAATGGGAAGAGAGTCATGGCCTTAAAACACCTGTGCCACAAGGGTTCAGATATACAAGCTAAGTCATGCTCCTGTGTTTTAGAAGATGACCTCATGTTCTGCCCAGGCCACCAGCATCAGGTTGCAGAGGATTCTAGAAGCGATTTTTAAAGTTAGGATGGCTGTGTACAGGAGCACCGGAACTTCTGCCTCTTTGTGAACCCACACCCAGCTTCAGGGCACGAGGTCTATGCTGGGAGGTGGCGTCCCATCACAGGGGCTATGACTTCCTGTTCCTCTGGAAATCCTGTTGTCTTGTCCCAGATGGACCTGGGATGCCCATTCCCGGGAGAACAAACTCTGTTTGGTCCAGAAATGACTTCTTTGCTATAGGACTCAATTTACTCTCCCCTCAAAGACTGGTCATGTGATTGTAGTTCACAAAGTTAATTTGGGGGGTCAGAGGGGTGGGGGAACTAAGTCAGGGTCTTACAATAAAGGGCTCTCCTGTGTCTCAGATGAAGACAAAAGTGGTTGCCAATTTATAGACAGGGAGGACACCCACTGCAGGCACTCTAGACCTTCTGTTCTCAAGCTCTAGGCTGTTCTGATATACAGGGGTCCTGACATGAGTTTACAGATGTGTGGGCAGCTTGCATGTGACAACAGCTGTCAGCGAATCTGGCCTCCCTGGCCTTATGCCCCATGACTATAGAGACCTTCCAGTAGTAGAAATGGGGGGAAAAAACCAGGTAACTTTAGAGAAGCCAAGGACTCAGATGGGGAGGAAGGGAAGCAGCAACTGGACGAGGCGGTCTCCGTGTGCTCGCCACGGCACCTGGCTTTCCCACAATGCACATCCTTCCTCCCATCCCCTCTCCTCTCCACGCCCTCTTCCAGAGATTCATATGCGCCAGCAAGCATCCTCTTTGGAAACATGAGTAGGCCTCCCTGAGTCTGAGGTTGTGAGCCATTTGTGCCTGAGTCTGAATAGGCCAGACAGCTTCCTTTCCCTCAGTCTCCGTGAGCTTTGCTGCCCTGAGGGGAAGGACTAGCTGCCCTCAGGCATAGAGGGTCAGCCCAAGAGGGGTGCTTTTGGGGGGACAATTGGTCAGCCTGTGACCACCAGGAGAAGGAATACTGGCAGGTGGGAGAACGTTAGGAGAAAAGGGTTAGAAAGGTGTCAAGTGCAGCTGTGTCCACCCGTGCCTGAGATGGGCTCCTAACCCAGGAGACAGGAGGGAAACCCTGCCCGCCCCTCTGGCCTCCACCTTGTCCTGAGCATGGCAGCACTGCTTCTGCCAAAGTCCAGGGTCTGAACCTCAGTGCCTGGCAGCCCCCACTCCTTCCCACGCCCTTTACATCTGCCGGTCTTCACAGTGAGGGCCCATCTCCAGGGGGACAAGGCTGAGATGCAGAAAGATCTTTACTCTTAAAGAAGACTACATTCTTTGGTTCATCCCCAATTAGCCAGAAAATTGAAATGTCAAGAGTACTCCACTTTGAATATCGTCCTTCACTTTAGACATGGAATGTTCATCTCTGTAATGCTTTTAGAATCAACAATAGAAATGCCACACCATCCCCAGCATTTGCTGTCATCAATTATTAAAGTAGCAAAAGTTAATACTTAGTTCGAGCATTAAATCTGTAATAGTTTCTCCCATGAGTCAACTACGAATAAAAGAGATGTAACATTTTCCATGTGGTAGAATTTTCTCCTACCAAGACAAAAACTTGAGTAATACTCCAGAAATGCATCTGCTGGCCTGGCAGTGGACAGACCCCCCTTGAAAGGGAGGGACAGGGTAATCCTGCTCAATTGACTTCTGTGTTAGCTACAGACCCGGGTCCAGCTGGCCCTGAGACCTCCTGGGGAGGCTGGCAACTGCCTAGAATCCAGAAGGACTGAATCTTGCAGACGAACACAGCTTGTATTCAGACCTAAGTTTTCTTCAGGTTGACTAGATTTGGTAGACATGTTTCCCAAGTGCTTACTTCTATCCTTTCTAAAACAGATCACATGGCATGCACTCGGATCATTTCTCAACACCCAGGATTCTCACTGTGAATTTCAGGGATGTTCTCAAAGCTCTTGAGGCATGCAGGGCTGTTTGTCTGTCAGTGATACCAGATTTGTGTGTCTTTTGACCACTCTGTACATTTCTGCAATGTTTCTGTCCTCTCACCGTTTCTGTCCTCTCTTCTACTTGCTGCTTCCAATGCACCTGCTGTTCAGCCTGCTATGGATGGGGGAAGCCAATAGCCACAATCACCAAAACTGTCCCTAAAATTAAAATAGTTGACATTTACTGAGCACTGACTATATGTCAGGCATGTTGTCAGTTGTTTGTATGTATTTATTTACTCCTTACAACCCTATAAGGGAAGTACTAGTGCAATGGGCCCCTTTTTCAGATGAGGAAACAGGCCAGTGAAGTTAGGCACACAGCTAGAAGGGGACAGAACCAGAAGCTGAGCCCAGGCAGCCTGAACCCAGAGCCTGTCCTCTGCACCGCTCCCTCTGCTACCTCCAAGAACAACCACACTCTGCACGGGATGCTCCAATTCTTGCTCCTTGTGTATGTTCTGGAGAGCTGTGCCTGTAGATCAGGGAGGCCTCTTTGTAAGCACCTGGCATTAACATCACAAAAAGAGAAAATAAATTCAAGGGCCAATTCATCGGAGAAGATATTAAAATAGATAAAACGCTAGCAGCCTAATTGAGAAAACAGGGAGAAAGTACAACATTAGAAATAATAAAGGGGAAATAACCAAGTATAGAGGAAATTTAGAAAAGCAAAAGATAATGTTTTAAACTGCGTTACTCAGTACATAAGAGATTTCCAGGTGGAAATGTCAAGTGTATATGGGTCATAATCTTCCCCACCGACAAACTTTATGTACTTGTCCTGTGTCACCATGAGATCATCTCCAACAAGTGCTTCCATGGGAGTCCCAAGTCTCCTTCAGGAAGAAGTCATCTCATTTTCCTCTACTAGAGCAGGGTTCAGCAAACTTATGGCCCATGGGCCAAATCCAGCTCATCACCTGTTTTCGTAAGGTTTTATTGGAACACAGTCCTGCTCATTCATTTTTGTATTGTCTACAGCTGCTTTCATGCTACAACAGCAGAGTTGAATCACTGTAACAGAGACCACATGACCCACAAAGCCTAAAATATTTAGCATCTGGTTCTTCACAGGATAAGTTTTCAGACCTCTTGCTAGAACCCTATAATTTTTCCAGTTTCAGACTACTTTCTGTATTAATCTCTTGCTTCAGAATTTCCAAGCCAGGTAGGTGGTACAAATTCAGACCTCACACATGAGCATGCCCCATGTATAGTGTCCCCATTTCTTTCAGATGTTCTTCTAACTGTGGCCTCAGAATGGACAGCTTTGAGGCCTCACCTTGGACCAGTGCAACTGTTCTTATCTCCATTTTAGGGATTCCTGGCTGTCTTAGTCTGTTCAGGCTGCTGCAACAAAATGTCAGAGGCTGGTGGCTTATAAACAACAGAAATTTATTTCTCACAGTTCTGGAGGCTGGAAGTCCAAGATCAAAGTTCCAGCAGATTTGGTGTCTGGTGAGGGCCTGCTCCCTGGTTCATAGCCACCTGTCTTTTCACTGTGTGTTCACATGGCTGAAGGGGTGGGGGAGCTCTCTTTTATAAGGACATCAATCTCATTTATGAGGGCTTTATCCTCATGACTTAATCACCCCTGAAATTTCCTACTTCCTAATATCATCACCTTGAGAGTTAGGATTTCAACATATAAATTTGAGAGGGATTCAAACATTCAGACCATAGCACTGGCTATGTTAGTTTTCTTTTGCTCCAAAACAAATTATGGTTGTTTAAAAACCCATTTATTAGCTCACAGGTCTGCAGGTCAGAAGTCTGGCAGGGGAGGGCTGGTTTTGCTGCTCAAACTAAAATCAGGTTGTCAGCCAGCTGCATTCTCATCTGGAGCTTGGGGTCCTTTTCCAAGTTCATTCCTGTTATTAGCAGAATACAGTCCTTACAGCTGTAGGACTGAAGTCCCCATTTTCTTGCTGGCTGTTTCCTGGTGACCTCTCTCAACTCCCACAAGCCACTCTCAGGTACTTGCACTCAGCTGTCCATCTCAGCAACAGAGAATGTCCTCCTCATCAAATCCCTCTCATGCTTCCAATCTCTGTGACTTCTTCTGCCACCAGCCAAAGAAAACTCTCTGCTTTTAAAGGTCATATGTGATTAAGTCAGGCTGAGGGGATAATCTTGCTTTCTTAAAGTCCACTGTGCCATCTGACAAAACCTCATTGTAGGAGTACTATCTTGTCATACTCACAAGTCCCACCCATAACCAATACAGAGGGTATTAATCAATTAATCAGTACACGGGCGTGGATTAGTGAGGTCATCTTAGAATTCCGCTGAGAACACTGGCTTTTTGCACAGAGCTCCATTCCAGATTCCTACCACACTCAGGCCTCAGGCCTCATCTCCGGTCCTGCTCAGGCTCTAAACTATTTTTCTTATATTATAACCAGTATGTTTAAGTGTTTAGAATGGTTGGGGTTTTTTCCCTCAGCAGCATGTCAACCAGATTTTCTAGATTTTTCATGTCGTAGAAATATGTCCCAAGATTGCACTCAAAATTTGTTAAAATAAGTGGACTCTAGGAGTCCTAACGTCAGGGAGGAGTGACCAGAGTTATAGGAAATGTTAATGGTCAGTCAGCTTGAAAACTCACCAGTGTGTTCATGTCTGGGGGATAGTTTCTCCTTTTGCATTAACTTTGCTTTCTAAGAAAGCTAAGATGTATGAAAACTTAGGAAAGTAAACTGCCATATCCCTCTGAGACCCTAATCATTTCAGATAAAACAGGCAGATTAACGAGCAAAGGACAGTCTCTTGTCCAAATACTTATTTTCAAATCGTTCACAACTGCTAAAAGTATATTTATTTTGTTTCCACTTCAAATCTGCAAGCAGTTTTCAAAGTTGTTGTTATGATGGTTTTCTTCAGATGTGGCTGAAAAGTATTTTCAAGAGAGCATGGCTCATCTTAAGGATTCTGAAGGGATGGAAAGAGCCAAATTACTGTCAATTCAAGATGAATTTTGCCATTTTCTACAAATCACTGGACAAAAAGAGGTGAGTTTGGATCACAATTGTCCAGCTATTCACATGGGCAACCCAGTTGATATTCAAAGGACTACTCCCTCATTCTGTAAGCATCCATTAAGCACCTACTATGTGCAAGGCATGTGCCGGTCTCTGGAGAGAAACAGATAAATAATGCCAGGTGGCCACTCTTGGGCAGCTTCCAGAGGCAGCCTACTTGCTCCTAGAAACTGGAAAACTGTTTACGAGAATGTAGATGTCATGTCCACCTACAAAAGAGCCTACAAAGGACAAGAAACCTTGAGAATCCAATGGACATACCTGCAGTTCTGGCTGGGATAGAGTATGGCAGTTATTTATTTATTTTTTATTACTATATTTATCATTATACAAAGTAATCATTTTTTGTGGCCCTTTGCCAATTTCTCACTAACTGACCTCTTCTTCCCACCTCTGGTGGCCTCAGTTCCATTCTCTCCCTTTGAAAGTTCAACAAATTATAGTTGGTTGGTGTATCTTTCTTTCTTTTTTTGTTTATTTTGGTTTGATTTTTGTTTTTTTAACTCCCACTTATGAGTGAGGACATGTGGTATTTCTCTCTCTGTGCCTGGCTTATTTCACTTAATTTTCTCTAATTTCATCCATATTGCTATGAATGGCAGAATTTCATCTTTTTTATGGCTGAGTAGTATTCCATTGTGTAATATACCACCTTTTCCTTATCCAGTCATCTGTCGATGGACACTTAGGTTGGATCCATATCTCGGCTATTGTAAATATTGTATACAGATAAACATGGGAGTGTGGGTATTCCTTTGACATGATGACTTCCATTCCTGTGGGTATATATCCAGCCAAGGGATTGCTGGATCACATGACAGTTCTATCTGTAGTTGTTTGAGGAACCTCCATACTGTTTTCCATAATGGCTGCACTAATTTACAGTCCCACCAACAGTATAGGGGGGTTCTCCTTTCTCTAATCCTCACCAGCATTTGTTGTTCTCTCTCTTTTTGATAATGGCCAATCTAACTGGCATGAGATGATATCTCAGTGTGGTTTTTATTTGCATTTCCCTGATGCTTAGTGATGTTGAACATTTTTTTCATGTTTCTGTTGGCCATTTCTATACTTACTTTGAGAAATGCCTATTCAGCTTCTTTGCCCATTTTTTAATCAGGTTACTTATTTTACTTAACAGTTGTTTGAGTTCCTTGTATATTCTGGATATTAATCCCTTGTCAGATGCATAGTTTGTGAATATTTTCTCCCATTCTGTAGGATGTCTTTTTTCTGTGTTAACTGTTTCTTTTGAGGTGCAGAAGCTTTTTGGTTTGATATAATCCCATTTGTTTATTTTTCCTTTTGTTACCTATGCTTTGGGTGTCTTGTTCATAATGTCTTTGCCCAGCCCTACTTCCTGAAGTGTTTCCTCTGTTTTCTTTTAGTGGTTTTATAGGTTTGGGTCTTATATGTAAGTCTTTAATCCATTTTGAGTTGATTTTGATATTTTGGTATATGGTGAGAGGTACAGGTCTAGTTTCATTCTTATACATATGGATGTACAGTTTTCTCAGCACCACTTATTGAAGAGTCAGTCTTCTTCCCAATGTATGCTACTGTTACCCTTCTCTAATATCAGCTGGCTGTAAGTATGTGGGTTGATTTCTGGGTTCTCTATTCTGTTCCATTGGTCTGTGTCTGTTTTTATGCTGGTATCATGCTGTTTTGGTTACTATAGTTTTGTAGTATAATTTGAAGTCAGATAGTGTAATGCCTCCAGCTTTATTATTTTTTTTACTCAGGATTGCTTTAGGTATTCAGAGTCTTGTTTTTCCATATTAATGTTATGATTGTTTTTTCTATTTCTGTGAAGAATGTCATTGGTATTTTGATGGGGGTTGCACTAAATCTGTAGATTATTTTGGGTAGTATGTACATTGTGACAATGTTAATTCTTCCAATCTAGGAGCATGGAATGTCTTTCCATATTTTTGTGTCCTCTTTAATTTTTTTCAGAAGTGATTTGTAGTTCTTATTGTAGACATCTTTCACCTCCTTGGTTAAATTATCTCTAGGTATTTTATTTTTATTTTTGGGTGACTGTTGTAAGTGGGCTTACTTTCTTGATTTCTTTTTGTTCTAGTTTGTTATTGGAGTATAAAATGCTACTTATTTTTGCATGTTGATTTTGTTTTTTTTTTGGTTTTTTTTTGTTTTTTTCCTTTTTGTCTTTTTTACTGACCGGTAACGGGATTGCAACCCTTGGTGTCGAGCCCGTACCGGGGACCGGCAGCGGGATCACAACCCTCGGTGTTGCGCCCGCACCACACTCAGCCAGTGAGCGGGAACCAGTCTCCACATGCGATCCGAACCCTTGGCGGGAGCGCCACCGCGCTCCAAAGCAGCGCACTCTCCAGTGCGCCACCGGGCCGGCCCTGCATGTTGATTTTGTAATATGCAACTTTACTGAAATCATTTATCAGCTCTAAGAGTTTCTTTGTAGAGTCTTTAGGTTTTTCATTATATAGGATCATGTCATCTGCAAACAGGGACAGTTTGACTTCATCTTTTCCAATCTGTATATTCTGGATATTAAGGATGCCCTTTGTTTCTTTGTCTTGCCTGATTCGTCTGGCTAGTACTAATATACTATGTTAAAAAGGAGTAGTGAGAGTGGGCATCCTTGTCTTGTTCCTGTTCTTCAGGGAAAAGTTTTCAGCTTTACCCCATTCAAGATGATATTGTCGATAGGTTTTTCATATACGGCTTTTTGTTTTGTTGAGATACTTTCCTTCTATCCTTCATTTGCTGAGAATCTTTATCACAAAGGGCTGTTGAATTTTGTCAGATGCTTTTTCTGTGTCTATTGAGATAGTCATATGGTTTTTGTCCTTGATTTTGTTGATGTGGTGTGTCACATTTATTGACTTGTGTATGTTGAACTATCCTTGCATCCCTGGGATGAATCCCACTTGATCATTGTTTTAGTCAGTTTTGTGTTGCTATAACAGAAATACCTGAGACTGGGTAATTTATAAGGGAAAGAGGTTTATCTGGCTTACGATTCTGGGACAGCTGTATCTGGCATGGGCCTCGGGCTGCTTCTATTCATGACAGAAAGTGGCAGACAGCCAGCAGGTACAAGCAGATCACATGGTGAGAGGAAGCAAGAGAGAGGAGAGAGGAGGTACCAGGGTTCTTTAAACAATCAGCTCTTGTGGGAACTAGTAGAGCAAGAACTCATTCACTACCCCTCTTCCCCAAGGGAGAGCATTAATCCATTCATGAAGGATCTGCCCCCATGACTCAATCAGTTTCCAACACCGCCACATTGGAGATCAAATTTCCACATGAGTTTTGGAGGGGACAACACATCCAAACTCCATCAATCATGGTGTATAATTTTTTGATGTGTCGCTGTATTCTGATTGCTAATATTTTGTTGAGGATTTTTGTGTCTATGTTCATCAAAGATATTGGCCTTCAGTTTTCTTTTTTTGTTGTATCTTTGTCTGGTTTTGGTATCAGGGTGATGTTGGCTTCATAAAATGAGTTTGGGAGAATGGCCTCTGTTTCAATTTTTTTAAATAGTTTGAAGAGAATTGGTATTAATTTCTCTTTAAAGGTTTGGTAGAACTCAGCAGTAAAGTCATCCAGTCCTGGACTTTTCTTTGTTGGGAGATTGCTAATTATTGCTTCAAACTTGCTGCTTGTTATTGGTCTTTTCATGTTTTCTATGTGTTCTTAGTTCAGTCTTGGTAGTTTTTGTGTGTCCAGAAATTTATCCATTTCCTCCAGGTTTTCAAATTTGTTGGCATATAGTGGTTTGTAATAGTCTCCAATGATTCTATGTACTTCTGTGGTATTGGTTGCAATCTCTCCTTTTTCATTTCTGACTTTTGTTGTTTGGGTCTTTCCTTTTCTGTTTTTAGATAGTCTAGGTTATGGCTTGCTATTTTGTTTATCTTCTCAACAAACCAACTTTTTGTTTCATTGATCTTTTTTTATCATTTTTGGGGCCTCTAATTCATTTAATTTTGCTCTGATCTTAATTGTTTTTTTTTCTTCTAATTCGAGGATTGAATTGTTCTTGTCGTTTAGTTCTTTGAGGTGTAACTTTAGGTTGTTTATTTGAAATCTTTCTGTTCTTTTGATATAGGCGTTTATTGCAATAAACTTCCCTCTTAGTACTACTTTTGCAGTATCCCACAGGTTTTGGTATGATGTGTCTTTATTTTCATTAGTTTCTAGAATTTAGAAATTTCTAGTTTCTAGAAATTTTTTGGTTTCCTTTTTAATTTCTTCTTGGTCCCATAGGTCATTCAGGAGCATGTTGTTTAATATCCATGTGTTTGCATAGTTCCTAAAGTTTTGCTTGTTATTGATTTCTAGTTTCAATCTGTTGTGGTATGAAAAGGTACTTGAAACAATTTCCATTTTTTAAAATTTGTTGAGACTCGATTTGTGCCCTAACATGTAGTCTATCCTGGAGAATGTTCCATGTGCTGATGAGAAGAATGTATATTCTGAAGTTGTGTGAAACATTCTGTAGATATCTGCCAGGTCCAATTGGCTTAAAGTATAGTTTAAATCCTGTGTTTCTCTGTTGATTTGTTGCCTGGATGTTCCGTTCAGTGCTGAGAGAGAGGTGTCCAGGTCCCCTACAATTATCATATTGGGTGCATATATGTTTCTGATCTTTGTGTCTTCTTGCTGGATCAATCCCCTTTATCATTCTATAGTGACCTTCTTTGTATCTTTTTATGGTTTTTGGTTTAAAGTCTATTTTATCTGATATAAGAATAGTTACGTCTTCTCATTTTTGGTTTCCACTTGCATGGCACAGCTTTTTCTATCCGTTTACTATTTGTGTGCATATTTACAGGTGAGATGAGTCTCTCGAAGACAGCATATAGTTGGGTCTAGCTTTTTAATCCAATCAGTCAGTCTGTGTCATCTGAGTAGAGAGTTTAGTCCATTTACATTTAGGGTTGTTATTGACAGATACTGTCTTACTCCTGGCATTT